AGACCTCTGAGCTGATAAGGAAGCTAGCAGTTATGGTAGGATGCCAGTAATGGTCTGGGAACTGGTTAGCACAATTTACCACCACTTAAAATTCAGGCTAAGCTTATTTGGGAGAAAAGTGTCTCTTGTTTTGCCTGGTAAACAACGCAGTGAGATTTGATGACATCTTATCGCACTGGGGTATTGGCAGGCAACCAGCTTACCTGTGCTGTGCTTTGCCTGGAAACCTTTTCTCTGCACAGAAGCATCGGAGTAAAACCTGAGGAACATCTTGTTGGTAGAAGCCACTACAGGGTCTGGTTTCTTGCTGCCGCAGAAGCGGCCAAGGATAGGTGACTTGCTGTTGGGCCCATCATACATTTCCAAGTGGTCATAGGCACATTCTTGGTGCTGTTCAATCTCAAACTCATTGAAGGTCTACAGAAAGGATAAGGAGAATTAAGAGAGACACTTGTAAATCTGAGTATGCAATTTAGCAGAGGATGAAATGCCAAGTGAGAAACGTGTCAAATGGTATTTGCCCGTCCCACTTCCTCCACAAACTAGAACAGAATAGCATGCTTTCAGACAAGAGTGATCTCAGGGTGGCGAAGCTCAGAAGTTCATACAAATGTGCCATGTAGCCTTAGCTTTGCTGCCTCACATGCGTGCATGACAACAGTTTTCAACTGCAAGCCTTGTATCCTCTTACTTTCCTGCCGGGACCCCTGCCTAGTACAACGAATGGGCAGTTCTTCACTACTATTTCCACTGAGCACAGGGATCCAGGCATCATTCCCCGCAGTGCATGGGCCACCTGCACAGCTTTGGGCATGTCCTGCCATATGCATCAGGCCACGCTGTAAAACAGGCCTGACGCTTCTCCCTCAGAGGGACTGCGGACCGGCACTGCCACCGCCTTATGCAGGCATGGTCCCAACAGAGTGGGTCACAAGGAAAGAGGGGGAAAAAAGAAAAAAGAAAAGGCGAGGGAAAGCCAGTTCAGCTCCTCACAATCCAGCCTGCTTCCCCCCTTGCGCTCCCACTCACTGGTTACTCACTACTTTCACTCGGTGGCCAGGCGTTACAGAGATGTCCCAGGTGCCCTCTTTCCGGCTGGGGTACTTGTCAGGCCAGTTTGGACTGCTCATCATTCCCTCTGCACCACTCAGCTTGTGCTCGCAACCAGCTGGAGAAAGAGATCACAAGATGGAGGCACCGATGCAGGTCTCACATGGGAACCACGTAACATCCTACATGCTCCCCTCTGCCCACTGAGACCCTCAACAAGGCAGAAAGAGGGAAGGCGTCAGTCACTGAACAAGACCTTTTAGTGTTACTGCATAGTTTTGGTGGGTTTATCCTACACTTTTTTGAGCTAACATGGCAGCTGGTGAATGGACCATCTCATTCCCCTGGGCCTCATTCACCCCACCCACCTCCTCACTCCCAAATGTATTCTGCTGCTCCTCCACCTCATCTGCTCTGTTCCCAGTGACTCTGGTGCTGTCTCAGCCTTGAGCTGTTTTTCCGACTTGGAAAGCTGAATCAGCTCATGGAGAGATCAGACAAGGACCAGCGGCCATACACAGGAAGGGCATGGCAGCACACAGCAGGGGTAGGAGTGCAGAAAGGTAATTTTGGCAGCAGCAAGCAGTTAGATCAGCTCATCCTTTCTCTTCTGACTCAACCCCAATAATTAAATGAAGCAGCAGTGACTAGTCTAATGGTGATGTCCCACAAACGCTCCTTTCGCTAGCCCAAATTCTTGCCCCCACCCTGTCCATCCCCCATGGCCATATAGAGAGCCAGACTGGGGAATGGATACAGCTGAAAACAAGCCCTCTTCTTCCTTTTTCTAGGTAGTTTTTTCAGCAACCTGGGGCTTTTCCAGTGCTGTACAAACATCCTTCCAACACTGGGCAGGAAGCACCCTGGCTCAAACTGTGTTTGAAGCATCTTATCTTTCCTGAGGGCAGGGAGTGGGCACCATACCTTCTTTACAATCATGGCCGTTTTCATGCAGCATGAAGCCATTTCTGCACTGGCATACGTAGCTCCCAAAGGTGTTGACACATTCGTGCTGGCAACCACCATTGTCTTTGGAGCACTCATCCTTGTCTGGGCAGGATCAAACCAACAAAAAACGAGTTGACAGTGAAAAACAGACTGGAAGTCCCATACCCAAGACTAGCAGATACCAGTGCAAACCTCCAACCTCTGCTGCTGGTCCAGTCAGCTTTTTAGTCCAGATACAATTCTCTTCAATAGTCTTTCATTCCAGAAAATGCATCACTCAAATTCACTATCCTAGGCAAAAATCTACTGGCTAGTCTTTATATTTTCAAGTTCCTACATGCTCTGATGAGCCTCCATCTTTAAATAGCTCTGCCTGAGAGCACAAGCAGGTAGACGGAGAAGAGGATCTAAGGTACAAGCTGCTCCCTGAAGATGAAATATGCCTCAGTGGATGTTCACTCCTGTGTGTTCAGGACTATGCATTCCTGAATCACACTGTTCTGAGCATAGGATCTGCTCATGGTTTCCAGTCCAATTTAATTTATGAGCAGTTTATCTCCAGTTTTATTTGGGCCAATGCCCTCCCTCGACCTCATTAATCTCATCTGCCTCCTCACTCCCAAACATATTTCTAGATGAAACATACCCCACCTCATCCTTTGTCTTGTCAGATTTAATAAGCCAAACTCCTAGCCCTGATTCTCTGCAACTGTCTTAATTCAAGGCCATTTTGCCAGATCACCCTCCTCAAAAACATTAATACTTCTCAGTCTCTGCTGAAAACACAGCATGAAGTTGAATTTCCACTTCCATACAATGTACAGTTAGCCTCCAGGATTGCCTGCCAACAAGGTACATCACTGACACCAAGAGCTACAAAGGATTCAGAACAGAGGATTAGAAACACCCACTAGCATGCACTGCTTTGATGGTAAGGATTGCTATACAGAAGACTTCTGGAAATTTTCCAAGTCTTCTAGTTTCAGAGGAAAAAGCTTTTCTTTAATGACTTCAGGGATAGAAATAACTTCTAGGATCAAGCTCCCCATTGCTTCCTGCTGTGGAAGGACTAGAGTCATTGAAGAAATCCATGCATCTTGCTGACACCACACTATGAAACTGGACCATACGCTGCACTGAGAAACCAAGACGAAAGGTGACACAACACAGAGCAATCATGCTTTTTAGATGTAACTAACCATGTCAGGCTCTGCCTGATTTGACAGGAGGTTGAAGAAAATTCACCAAAAACAAGAGGTTCAGTCAGAGTAGACAGCTAAGCAAGTGAAAGAATACAGCCACATACCAGAGAAGTAGTGAACTTTAAAGCCTTTCTTGGAGACCGTGTTGTCTGATTTGAACTCCAATCTCATGTTGTTGCCATACGACGTGATTACTTCAGGCTTCTCTGAGCCACAGAATTTGCCATGCAGCTTGGAGTCAGAAGCCAACCCACTACGAACCTCAACATAGTCATATTTACAGACCTGCCGAGAGAGGAGGAGATTTCTCAGCTCCATGGACTTGGAACAGAACATTTCAGAGGAAGGGGACAGGGGCTTGACTGAAAGGGAAGAGAAACAGCCTTATACTCAAACACACTCCTAACTTCCCCAAATTCTCCTCTGTCAGTGTTCTCACCCCCTTCCCTTGCTGCTCTGGTCTTAAAGCATAGGTGTGTTCATCAGAATAGCAAAGGTTCCATTTAATTTAGCTAAAATAATTACTCCCAGCTTATCCAAGAACCTGACAGTGTTGAACAAAATTCAGCAGCCTGCTGAATTAAGGAAGAACCACTGTTCCCATTTACAGTGGGGAAAGCGAAACCTGAATGCTTTGTTCATACTCCACCCTGCCCTTGGCAGGGCAGAGAAAAGATTCTTTTACTGGTTATTTTATTTATCCTTGAAGAACCCTACTTCATGGTTCATTTCCAATTATATTCCTGCAGAGGCAGCTCTGGGGAAGGGTGGGGATAGGACGGGATGGAAAACACCTACAATTATGCAAAACTGGTAGTGAAAATAAGCCCATTTATAACAGAAAAGCTTTAATCCTTCCACTCCATAGATAAAGCAGATCCAGACTTCAAGGAGAACAGTCAGTGTTATTGGCTTATTGTATCAAGGGCAGGGAAACAACCATAAGCTCCACCAGTAAGATAGAGTTTCCTCTTCCTTGTACCCCAAGGATTTATCTAGTTCTGAGTTAGCCAAGTCACACCTCTGAGATGCAGGGACATGGTTACGTACATCATTGCCTTCCAGCTCAAACACTTCGAACTGCAGAGAGATCCGGTACTGGGCTGGAGCTACCACCTGCCAGACGCAGTTTTTGTTAGTAGGATATTCCTTGGGCCATCCAGGGCTAGTAATGGTCCCATTGAGCTTGGTGATGAAGCCCCCACAGGCAGCTGGAGAGGCAATAAATGAACACAAGTTTTACTTGGTTCTGTTCAGACACACAGATTGGGCCACACTGTTAGCTAGGAAATGAATCAGATCCTGGTTGGTGGCACATTTCAAATCCTGGCCTCCAGGACAGGTTTAAAATGCTGGGAGCTGCAATGACGACAGAAACCTCACCTGCTATAAATCACCAGTGAAACTCCCGCAGCCAGGCTAGGGCCCCGAGAGCCACTTAAACCATGTCAGACAGATCTCCTTTTTACTCTCTATCCTTGGACTTACTATGGATCAGTTGACTTGACATGCACAATACAGTTGTAAAGGCCAGCTTGGTAAATTCACCCACACTCAGTTCCACAAACCTTACTATTTCAAGTTTATTGATAATGGAATAATTAGAAGAATAATGGAATCCTAGGGAAGACACGCCTGTCAACTCTTCAGTGGCTTATTATCTGTGGATTGCATCTTCTCTAGGGTAAATTGAAGTCAAAGACTTAGCTTTATTATCTCATTTCCTTTAAAAATCTAGGACATCTCAGCCTCATCATCTTTTGGCAGGGCATGGCTTTTACCTCAGAGGAATCAACCTCAGTTTGCTCTTTTGCTGCAAAATTTTATTTGCAACGAAGCAGTTTTTTCTTGCTGTTTCTTGGAAGTAATGAGATATGGCCAGATCTTCAAAACCCATGGGGATAAAAGCTTCCAAAATGGTTCCCTGCACCATTTTGCATTAAGAGAATTAAGACAAGGGAGCAGTTTCAATACAAAAAGTGTAGCAATCAAGTCTGGAGAAACAAAAGCAATTTACTCTGATGTGCATCACTACAATTTCAAAGACCATCCTTCCTGTATTGGCCACAAATGAAGTTTAAAATAGGAGTTTAAGAGTGAAGTTCAAAAACACTTGCCAAGTTGTATGAACTGGATTGCTCAAAGTTGCAAGAAACTATTTTTAAAAATAAAGTAAAGTTTCCAAAAGCCTTTTGCACACACCTAACTCTACCCTCACCAAGTCAACAGCAGCCTTCCCCAAACAGTTTGACAAAAGTAGAAGTTAGGGCAAACCAGGTGACTTTGAGAACGCCACTCACAGTGTGTGGAGCTCCCTACACATCGCAGCTGTACAAGACAAGAACAATGGGTGGATTCTCACCACACCAACAGCTGTATTGTTGGTGGAAGCACACACTTGTTGCAGGAGATTAACTGTATAAATAGAAAGCTGACAGAAACAGATTCTACTGAAGACATGGGTATTTTCCCCCCCGTAACAGAAGAAGGAAATTTACTCCTCAGTATGGAGAATGTCTGCTTTGCATGCAGGCAAAACAAATTTTATTCTACAAAAGAGTTCTCTTTAAAAAAAAAAATAAATTCAGCCTTAGATTGAAATACTTTTGGGCCACCCAATGGTTAGGTTGTAATGCCCACCCTCCCTTATGCTGCACTGTGGGAGATCTGGTCTGAACATGTGGACATGAAGAACAACCGGTTTTAGAGACGTTTGGCAATAGAGAATCAGAGTATTTTCAGTTTTTCAACCAACACTTGTTTTTCAATTGAAAATGTTGACAAAAAGAAATTTTTCATGTGGGGGAAGATAAACAGAAACAAAGAGGACGTAGAGGAAAGGAAAACAATCTCTAAGATTGTTCAATTTTATTATTACCTATAGTACCCACGCTATAGACAGATGCCTCGATCTGTAGGTTACTCACCTTCACAGCTCTTTTTATCAGCTGTCAACTCATAGCCAGGCTCGCAGGTGCATTTGTAACTGCCCAGTGTGTTCTCACAGTGCTGCTCACATCCACCATTGTCTGGCAGAGAACATTCATCCATTTCTGTCATGAGAAAATCAGAAAAAGTCACACTTTCCTGACCACCCAAACCCCCTCATATTCCTCACGCAATACTTTTGGACAGAAGGACCATCAGCATTAGCTGATGAGCTGAGCTCATGGAGCAGACACTGCAACAAACCTCACAAGTCCTTAAAGCACTCCTACCATCAAAACCGTAACGGACTACAATTGCTGTTACCAGTCAAGAGTGCTGTTTATAGACAGGAGCAGGAAAACATGGTCTCCTGTGAAGACTTCACTGCCTTTTGTTCTCATCTGCCCCCGCTTTTTTGTTTTGCTTTATTTTTTAAATTGCTCATGCTCTTGAGTGACTTGAGCCACCAGGAACCAGCCTGTTAGGGTGCCCACAGTAATGGGAGCTGCAGGAGGCCCACTGAATGGGGCAAAGGAGCTGGAAGGACATGCAAAATAGTCCTTCCTTTTCATTAACACAGGAAGTTTTGCTACTCTAGACTTTGAGGTCATGTTCTTCCAATCACATGTCAACAACCTGAGCTGACATTTTAGTATACAGATAGTCAGATGTATTGGCTTCTCACCCTGACTCTTGATTCCACGTGCATCCCTTAATAGATGGTTTTATTATCATGGTTGTGGTGAGCTGGCCTCAGCTAGCAGCCAAACTCCCACCCAGCTGCTTGCTCACTGCCCACTCCCCACTCCAGTGGAATGGTGGAGAAAATAGGAAGAACAGGAGCAAGAAAGCTCCTGGGTTAAGACAGGCAAATTACCCACTGATTACCGTCATGGACAAAACAGACTCAACTTTGGGGAATTTAGCTTCATTTGTTGCCAATTAATATAAATATTTGAGTACTGATTTGGGTATTGGGAAACAAAAAATAATAAAAAAAAGAAATAAATGTTAAAACACTTAAGGAAAACACCTCTCTGTCCCCCTTTCCCAGGCTCAACTTCCCTCCAGACTCCTCTCCCCACTGCCTTGTATCACCGCAGCTTACACTCAGTCCCTTCAGCAAAGTCATAAGCATGAAAAGACAGGAGGGGATGGGCAGCTACAGTCAGTACGTGACTCTGCTGTTCCTTCCTTCTCATCCTTCCCCCTGCTCCAGCATGGGTCCTCCACGGGCTGCAGTGAGTATCTGCTCTGCCATGAAGCACCTCCACCTTCTCCTCCTCTGACCAGCAGTGTTAGCTCTGCTGTTTCGCACTTTTTGTTCCCTCCTCCTCTCTCTCCCAGTCATTTTTGACCTTTCTTAAACACGTTTTCACAGAGGCGCCATCAGCTCAGCTGATGGGCTCAGCTGTGTCCTGCAGTGGGTCCACTGTGGGGCCAGCTTCAACCATCTGTCTGGCACAGGGCAGCCCCTGAAGCCTCCCACTGCCAACACCCTGACACCTACACCCAATATAATGTTCCAGTAACAGTTACTGCTACATAGATCAAGTAGGAACAGCCTTGACTAGATGATCATTGTAGGTTACTTCCAACTGAAATATTCTATTCTCTTCTATTGATAACACTGTCTTACTGTAAAGCCTTGCCACAGTCAGGAACTCCCTACTGCAAGAGTTCCAGTCCAAACAGATTTTATTTTCTGGTTTCTGTTTGTGGATTCACTATGAAGAAAGTAGAGTATTTCTTTGCTGCTCCATGCTTGGGTACAGGTTCAATAGTTTCTAACCTGGCTGTTAAATCACTTATCTTGAGAGAAAAGAGAGGCTGCAACCCCTACAATCATCAAAAACCCCTGTGGTCGGTCTTTACTGTGGGAAGGACACGTCCTGACTATGGGCAGGTATATTTTGCAAAGTATTGTCTTTCCTCTGGTGTTTGCCATGAGGAAGAAAGGCACAACAAATGTAAGACAAGCACATCACTACTAACACTTCAACCATATACAAAATAGGCTTCAGTGATACAAATAATTTGTTACCAAAATGAAGATAAGTAATAAAGAATGATCGTAGAGCTTTCCTTTGAGATACACATGATGGGATGGACACGAGCTAATTGCTCTTCATACCTTCCTGACATTGTGTCTTGGATGTGACCAATGGCTTACCCTCTCTGAGCTGCCTTACTCTCCCTGAGCTGTTTGCAGGTTTATTTTCTCTGAAAAGTTACAAGTTACCACTGCAAGTTCTCACAAAGTGTAACACTCAACTCCATCCTTAACTTTGTTTTTTTTAAGCTGAGTTATCTTCTTTCAATGTTATAAGACATGTAATTGAAGCTCTATTCCTTTCATTAATTCTTTAAGGCAAAGCTGACCCATTGCTCAATCAGCTATGGGTGGCGGTCTGAGGAGTGCCTGCAGAGCCATCTAATTTGTTCATTTACTTTGTTCGTGGAGTGGCTGGTAGTCACAATCCCTCTGGATATGGAGGTACGGGCTGTAGACTTCAGATCCCACCTTGAAGCTCCACATGTAGCCTGTGGGTATGCTTACCCAGTTTCTGCCAACTGACATCAGCTCTGCCCACAATGCAAGCTGGCTAGAAGCTGTGTAGCTATGGCTACTGTGGGGCTTGGCTTAAGAAAATATAGTTCGCTTCTCAGCTAGACTTACTGGCATAAACTTAACACCCTAACCATCCACAAGCTACAAGGTTTCTGGGTCACACATGTGAAGTCTGAGCAGACACTGCAAGATCTAGCCTGCCAGCAAAAACTCTATAGACAATACTCATGTCTGCAATTGTACTAGCAGTGCACATTCATGCATTTTTTTTTTACACAAAAAATAAACACATTTATTTCTGAATACTTTATTTCTTCCTCTACAAATTTGCAGGAGAACCTCAGATTCTACAGACTGACTTGCTGCAGGACAAGAAGTCTCCATGTAGTGCTAATCCCTGGAAGACATCTTTGCCACAGCCAGCCTGCACTATAAGCTCCTGAAAAAAGCCAACACGTCTTTAGGAAGAATTATTCTCTGGGTCTTTATGGAACCTGAGAAATCTAAACAAGGAAGTCTAGGCATTGTGAGAGTTGTTCAGAGACTGGAATGAAACATTACAGTGATCTTGCAATCACCCTTTGTCATGGTCCATTTAGGTTTCTCAAATTTACAGGACAACGTACTCGTGACTTAAATTTTATGTAACTAATTCTTTTTTTTTTTTTGCTCGTAAGTGTACAGATTAAGAGTGACGGGTTACAAATTATGAAACCTTATGACTTGAATGGTGAATAAGTGAATTCACATGATAGACTAGTCTGAGCAAAGGGAATTGAGCCCCTGTTTGTCATGTTTGCTTACTGTAGTTCTTAACGAGCTCATGAAATAAAGCTTAATTCACAGAGTACATTGTCCTGTAAATTTGAGAGATCCAAACTGACCATGACACCCTTAACGCAAGACCAAAGTTAAAGTAAAAATAAATAAAAGACTTAACGCAATCCAAATATTGGCATTGCAGCTACTATTTCTGTACAATTCTCAGAACCTAAGAGAACCTCACAGCAGCTCCACAGGTATTTTCCTATGTTATATGTTTGGTTCTTGCCTCTGTCAAGTCACCAGGATGCCGGTAAAGGACCATGGCTTCTGTCCAGCTCTTAAGAAAAATCTTAGTTTTCATTCACATTTTCCTGAAGAAGATCTTGGTTTAGGAACACATTTGTCTCTTAAAGCACTCAGAAATTTTCTCTAGGATTCTACTTGAATTCAAATTTATGCTCTCTCCAGAGGTTTCTTCTGGAATACAACTTAGAGTTGTTTTTAACATCCTTTGTGCAGTACTAGTACCTTCTTTGAAAATATCAGTATCCCGTGGCATGGATAAATGGAGGTCATATTCTGTGCAGCTGTGCAAGGTGTTAGTGCCTCTGCTGGTACTGACCCAATAGGCTTTCTTTCTGTCTTAATCAGGGAGGTGGTGCCTCAGCATCAAACGCTTCTACACTTCCAAAGCAATTTGTATATAAACTTGATATTGGTGGTTGTACAGACAAGTCTAACAGCTCTTAACTACAAGTAGATACAATGATAACTGATCACTTTGGGACAGCAGTAGGTTAAGGGATGAATGGTCCCCAGCTTGGACCTTGAGAGGTACTAGATCACATACCTTTAAAGAAATTTGCTGCAAAGCCTGCTTTATTGATGGTTGCATCAGATGCAAACTTCATCCATACTTTATTTGAACTGGATTTGATATCTTCTGGCTTCTCATAGCCACAGAAGTGACCGATTAATGGGCTGTATTCAGTGAGGCCATCTCGGATCTCCAGGTAGTCATAAGAACATGCATCGTGCCATTCAATCTGCAATGGGAAAAGGGTGTGCCTGTAGCTCACTAGTATGAGTGCTCTGAGTCCGGCTAGCTAACCAATTAGACTTTGGCCAGAGATCAGCTTCCAAAGGAGCATCCCAAACAACTGCTCACAACTAGGTACTTGCCTCATGGCTGCCATTGAACTGTTCAGCAGTTGAAATTGCATTCAAGCCCGGGCACATCTCAGTTCTACTGCTATTTCATGGCTATCCTCTGGTGAGACCTGGTCCCTGACTATCTACAGGCTGTTTTTCCATGAGAAGCTGTAAGGAAGAGAGCAGAACAACTACAAACAAAAAGGTTCAAGGAATAGCTGTGGGGTCACAGCTAGGACGTAGTGGTGTCAGCCCTTTCCAGGACAAGCACAGTAAGTGTGCACAAGCCACAGGAACCTATGGGATAGATGGGATTTATGCACCAGCCCAGGTCCTGTCCACTCCTGTCTGTGACATATATCAGTAGTCAGACACAGATCATTGGGCACCCAGCTAAGAGTGTAAGACATCCTATAACCAGTAAGAGAAAACCTTTTCTGACAGGAAAAACAGAATCTACAGAGGCAAAATAATATCCACAATATAATATACAATGATATTTCTCACCTCAAAGGCTTGAAATGTGATTCCTATGTGAAAGCCTTCAGAAACCGTGATCTTCCAGATGCACTCTTTGGAAGGTCTGTAGTCATCTGGGTAATTGGGAGATTGGATCTGGCCAGCATCTTTTTTAATTTCTCCACCGCAAATCGCTTCATAAAAAACAAAGAGGAAAAACATGAAATTGCAGGTTTTTCCTTAGGTAAAGCCTGCTCTATACATAGCCTTCTTCCTCATTCAAATCTGTTTCAATATTGCTTATTACACAAAGGCAACACACAAGTCATGGAAGTTTTTCCGAATCTAACATTTGGTCTTGCTGTGACAACCTCCTTAGAAGGTAAACTCACCAGGCCAGAGAATTTTTATGGATTTGTGTGTTTCACACTCTTGGTCACTTTCGTAACTGCTTAAAACCTGCTACCAGCACTAAGGACCAAGACAAGTTGGCAAACAAACAAAAAAAACCCCAGTTGCAAATCTAATCCTGCCACACGATGGCAATATTAACAAGCATGAGCTGAGCTTTTGACCAGGACACCATCAGGATGATTGCTGTGCATGAAAAATGGAGTTTTGTGCTAAATATGAGTAAGTTTAAAGACCAAGAACAGAAAATTTAAGGAAAATCTAGTTTAATACAAAACTAGCAGAGACCTCAAATACAATAGCAGTTCAGCATAATTGTCTGCAAGACTACGTTACAAATGAAAGTAAGATCACAGGCTAAAACCTGCGTTACCCCATGATGCATGACACAAACGTCTCAAGAAGGCATATGAATGTTTCGGCTGTGTTTAAAGTCAAGCAAACAAAAAGCACTGACAGTCAGTACAAGAGAGATGGCAGTGCAATGACACCTGCCAGACATCAACCAACCCTCTTCACCTTTGGGGTCTCCTCACAACGCATTGCGTTAGCAATTCAAATGTGGGTCTCCCTGTAGTGTCCTGGAAATGGCTTGCATTAGGTAACATTGTCTTGGGTTTGCCTTGTAAGCTGCTAACGTTTAACTGCAACCTAGTTAAAAGCCCCATTTCACTAGTGCAGTGCTAACTTCTTTCTTAGAGAATCAGTGCTAAGGCACCACCAAATTAGTTGCACCCAAAATTCAGCCGCAGAGCTGAATATTTAGGTTGTGGTTTGAGTTCATATATTCAGAGCTACAAGCGGTGCTCGAGAGAACCTCTCAAGGACCCTTTCAAGAACTGTCTCCCTCACCTAATAGAAAGAGGACTACATGAGCAGAGAACTGACAATTTTTTTTAACAGCCATAAAACTGTCAGCCAGCAAACACTGTTTTCTCTGTGTACTGCAGTAGTTCACACTGAAATTCATCTGAGTGCCGAGTATACTGAAAGAGCTTTACTGCAAAATGCAAAGAACGTCTACTGATAGAGCCTGAGAAGGCAATAACAATGACAAATTTAGGGCTGGCAGCAGTGGTGTAGGGCAAAACCACCAGCATCTTCCCATCTTGACTCTCATACAAGAAAAGGAACAAAATGACTGAATCATGAGGACACTTTCATTACTTTAACTATAATTTAGTATCAAGTAATTCTCCCATCATGTGGCTACATGCTTCTGCTTCTTTCCTCCCATCTACTGAAAACTTTAGGACCAAGATCTGGAGGAATCCAAATCCAAAAATCTGTCCTCACCCACAGAGCTCCCAGCAAAGTTCAGATGCATGAGCGTTTAAATGCACTCTCACTAAAGCAGGGGACAGAGAAGCAGTGCTAAAATCCACTTTGGCTTTTTATTGTTTGAGGGAGAAGAGTTCGAAAAAAAAAAAGAACTAACAGCAACACAGAGACAAAAATTGATAGAAAATTAAACTTTTAAGGGCAATGCCTCCTAAAAATAAAAATTATCCTTATTGCCTAGACACAGAAGTCACAAGACAGCTGAGCAAGCTACCTGACAACAGAGGAGAGAAACAAGCCATTACCAGAGCTTGCATCAGAGGGAAATAGGGATTAAGGAAGATTTTTTGAAACTCTCTCATTTGCTGAAAGCAAATAAATTACAGACAGAGATGTAGATAAACTCACTATCTGCTGCTCTGACAAGAGGAGGTTGAGCTAAGAAAAGAACTATGCAATGGGCCATCACTGCTTCTGTGGTACAAGCTGGCTTCCACCAGTCATACTCTGTGCTTGCTCTCAGGCTTAGCAATAGACTTCATAGCTTTCCAATGGGAAGTTTCCTGCAGGGCATAAAAAGCCAGAGCCTTGAAGAGGCAGGAAACATGAATGGTCAGAGGAATGCAAAATTTAACCACTAGATGCACATTTCACTTCATTTTCTCACCTCAAAAGTCAAGTGGAGCAAGCATTGCTCATGTTTACTGAACTTTTAGGGGACATTTATTAATCAACAGGAAATACGGAAAACTATTAAGAGAAAAGAAAGTTTTACACAGTGACTTTGGCATGTAGCCAATGAACACAATTTTTTTTCTTTCAATGTAATTTAGCAATATGAAGCATGATGCCATATTAACATGCATGATGAAGAACAACAAAGTTGCTTTCCAAAAATATTCCTCACCTTGCTTTTTTTTATTTTTCTTTTAAAGTTGGAGCAGATATCACTGGGGAATAACCCACTGTAAGAATTAAGCTGACTAGCCCACCAAAGCACTACGCCAAAATAAAAGTCTATTAGAGACACATTAGTTTGATCACTTCTAACTCCAACAAACCACCACACAAGGGGTGTTACAAACCACATGGGCCAGGGCAACAGCTGCTTCTCAGGAGAGACATTAAAAGCAAATAAAATCAGGCAAGCTACCTCTGTCTCTGGGGCAACAATTGCTGCAAAAACCAGGTATTTATCCTGCGAAATGGATTTGTTAGCCCCACACTGTTGTGAAATCCTCATATGCTTTATTTGCACTTCCCCAACAGCCCCATGTTTTCTTCACTTCCCTCTATTAGTATCATTATTCATTAGTATATTGGACACTTGGGCATTGGGTTTCCAGTGTCATGCTTGTTCCTGCGGCTGCAGAAAGAAGAAGATGCAAAGTCGGTACCAATACAGTCAACCTCAACACTGTTGACAACACTGGTGCTTTAAGAAAATGCCTGTTGCCCAGAGGACAATGAAGGCTTTTAATACATTTTAGAATTATTACTGTAAAAAATAAGTCTATATGGAGAAGGTATGTTACTGATTTGTTAGTGACTTTGATAGTATTGCTCCTCCTCTGAAGTGGTTTCAGCATCCCAGTGCCATGCAAGTTTCCAAAGTACCTGACCTGCAGAAGATCTGACATGCTAATTTCTAATCTTCTGTAAGTAAAACATACAAGGGAGAAACCAAAGAACAATCTTTGCATTTGAGGGAGGGGGAAAAAAAAAATCAAATAAGCTTCATTAAGTGATATATAACATATCATCTGAAACTGAACTTTGCCGGTTAAACTACCGGAAGGAGCTCCTGCTACACCCAGCACTGCTGCTTGCAGGGACTGGTCAGGGCAAAGAGAACCTTGCCTATGAATGGAAGCTATTGCTCTGTGCTGCCATCTTGCTGTCCCCCCAAAAATGTGATGATCTAGTTGGAAGATCTGTGCCTTGTCTGCTGAAACAGCCCACAAAATCTGCCAATTCCCATAAAAACAAGAGTGGGGGCTGTGCCTAGCCACACGGTGAAGCAGAATTCCTACTGATCCCATAAACCCCTGCATCCTGTCTTGGCTGCTCCATGCGGTGCGACAGACAACTGCTAGCTAAAGGCTGTACCTTCATAGACCACAAAGAAGCCTTTGCCCAGGATGTTACTGCTGCTCCGGAACTCGATCCACAGCCTGCTGTCCATGGAGATTACCGGTTCAGGGATCTTGTCGCCACAAAATCTACCTAGAAGGCAGGAAAGAGACGATCAAGATCTGCTGGCTGATGGGCAGCACAGCATAGCAGGCACCTGCAGCTCCAGGAAGCAAACAGTCTGCGGTTAAAGGAGCTGTGCTTGTGTAAAACACCCTTTCACTCTCACCACTTGTGTTTTTGAATGAGCTTCTGGGTATTTCCCCCCATTAATTCATATTCTCTTAAATTATTAAATTAATAAAGGTTTTCTTCAGCTGGGAGCAGAATACAGTCGTCGCAGACGCAGCCTCTGTTGCCCTGGTAAATTCAAAAAGGCTCTTACTTTTATCGCCTGATTGGGCAAATGAGCTGCAAGGGTGGGGAACCATCCCCTGTCCTTCTAGAGATGTGACATTAGGGAACGTCCTTTCCACCTGCTAGACTCCAGAAACTTCTTCATTTCTTTGCACTCATGAGCAAAGTGTCCAAGTCAAACTGAGGGCAGGATGTGGCCATGCTGATGAGAAAACACCCCTTAGCTCGTCCTCTGCTCTCACTCCCCTGGTAAATCTACCTCTTCCCAGTTAAGTCTCTGCAGTGATTCAATCTCTTTCAAGAGCTTTGTGACCAAGAGCCTTTTTGCTCAAAGGACCACCCAGCTCTAAGTTCTCTGGCATGCACCAGCATTAGGTAGACACCGGAATCCTGCCAGCAAGGGAGAATCCTGAAACAGAACAGCTGCAGGCGGCATCTGCAGCCCAAACAACCCTGATCTGGTGCTCCTCTACCTGCTCCAGCCAGAAGCTCCTCATGGAAACAGAGCAAGCACCGAGTATGCACACAGTGCGAAGGTGGTTTTTCACTTCAGCTGACACCAGCAAGGCTATATACTGAATTCAGTGTGGCCTTGGCACCTCGTGCAACTGAATCCCCGGCGGGAATGTGATAGCAGCAGAGCAGCTCCTCAGGTTGAATTCAGTCAGGACAGCGGTGATGGGGCATCCTGGCCTTGCAACACCAGGCCAAGGCTTCTTTCAGCAACCTCCACTGGGCACAAACCTGGCTAATGCCTTACCTGCAAGACAGCTCCGTAGTTCCCATTAACAAGCTGCACTGGTGGTTCCAAAAAGTGTAAGGAGACAGACAGTGCAAAGCCTGTTGACTGGCAGGCAGGGAAGGCTGTTGCTCCTCCCGTGTACGGGAGGCAGAGTAGCTGGCACGAACCCGGCGCATTAAAAGCCTAGGGCCCCCCCGCTTAGCCGGCTGCCCACAGTCAGCCAGTGCCACTTTTGCCCCCCCTTCATCACTGGGCAGCTTTGGAAAGGCTATGACCTTCAAGGATGCAAGGTGACAGGCCAGTCAGTGCAAATGAGACTGGATGGAAGGCGAGTTGCAAACTTCGTTTCTCTTCAATGGTAGTTTCCCTGCTCACGTTTTTCCCTTGCAGAGTCCCCCATCCAAAAACTAGCTTCACTTGGCTGTTCAATTCTGAGCCCCTGTGCCCCAAAGCTGCCCAGCGCTGCCAGGGCAGCGCGACAGCCCTGCAGCGGTACCAATAGCATCCCCAGCTCCACTCCCAAAGGGGATGCTAACAAACAGCGTCAGCCCTGCAAAGCTCCTTCCTCCAGGGTCACCGAGCAACTGCCTCCTGCATTTAGACTGGGAGTTTAACAAGGGTGTCAAGGAGAGGAAACGCAGATGAGGGACGAGAACGAGCGAACTCCTCAGGGTGCGATAAAGGGCCCATTCATAAAAAGCTATACACCATTTAAAAGCTGGGTTTTCACACACTTCCCTGGGAAAATATGTAGCGCACATGTTTGGGTTTTTTTTCCCCCCTCTCCGCAAGAAGCCCGTACTTTCATAATTCACGCTAATCCCCCTCCCCGCCCCCTGCTGAATCGCCGTCTGTCTGCCTCTTCCGAGCTAATTTCATGGGCTCGGCCCCTCGCGGGAGCCGTGGCCACTCATGCAGCGTCTCCTTCCAGATGGAAACACTCATGAGTCCACTTGCATTAGAGGGACGGGGAGGTGCTTGGCTTCTGAAATACCTTTCAGTTACTCGGCAGAAAAAAATAAATAATGAGGAGCTAAGTTGCAGCTGCTGGAGCAACATTACCTGACGCATGTGCGGCAGAAAACAGCAATAAATGCTGCCAACCCCAAACTAGGCAGGAGACAGTAAAACCGGCTGCTAACTCTGCGCCAAAAAGCAAGCCCACAGAAACCCCTGGAGAGCAGCACGGCTCCGGCCTCAGCACCACCCCTGGTACCAGGGCCAGGCTGTGCGGTGGGGCCAAAGCCAGCACCCAGACCGCCCTACGGCCACTGACCCCACTCTGACTAGCCCAGTCCTGTGCTGCAGCGTGGGGCGCAGCGCACCTAACCCAGCGGGAGATGCTGCGCACCCCAGTTGCTTCTTCCCTTTCCAGCAGAAGGGACTGTTTGCCACGGGGCATTTCACACGTCGGGACACGAGGTTGGGCGACGGGGTCAGGATCAGAGCCAGTGGCAAAGCAGGTGGGACTCCCGCCTGCCTGCTCAGGGCGGCAGAAGCTTCACAGCTAGGAGAGCAGGAGGCAGGGGAACAGGGAGGACACAGAGGAGCTGTGCTTCCTTGAGGTCTTTGGGATCAGGAGTGGACGAGAGCCCTTGCACTGGCTGATATCCTAGCTATGGTCTAGCAAGTTCCCTGCTAGAAATAGAGGCCCAAAGTACAGACTACTGTATATTTGTAGACACAAATATTTGAGAAATAATGGCAGGAGCGTGGGCCACGAGCTGTACAGCTGCTTCATGCTGACTGCCTGACAGTTCTACTCAGGTCTTAGCAAAAAGCACTTAATAAAACTCCAGAGACCACATTTTTAATCCCAGCCATGCCCTCGACTCACTTCCCTCTCTGCCTCAGTTCTCAAGATGGAAAAGGAAGGAATAAAGTCTTTGCTGCCAAAGGACTTGGAGCATGGATCATTTGGTATGCATACAGCACACCGACGTCTCTGGATGGAGACATTAACGGGTGGCCAGTGCACTGGCTGGACATAGGCTCCTTCCAGGTAAAGGAAGGTTTGTATCTGTTTGCGTTTTTTTCCCCCCAATAAGCTTCAAGAAGAACATACGAAATGCAATCAAAATAAAGCAGCTACTCACCCAGTAATGGAGCCTTCCTCCAGTAGCCATCACGCACCTCCACATAATCATACCAGCAAAGGCGACTTTTAAACAGGTCCATTGATGTGAAGTTTAACATAATCTGAAAGGAGAGAGTACACACTTCTCATTGGGAAGAGAGCTACTTTAAAAAGGAGATCCTACAGGTTATGTGTTTCACCTCTGCTACGGTGCTGCATAAGTGAGTATGCGGGAAAAGACAGTTGGACAATTTGGTTGGATTTTTTTAATCAGTTTTCCTCAAAAAAGAAAGGCTTCTCATGGTACTTTAATGAAACCATGAAAGTACATGACAGCACACAGCACTTTACTATCCATTCTGTAATTCACAGTCACTGCTCCTCAGTTACTAAAATGCTACTTTAAAAAAGCCCAATTTGGGTCTTCTAAAATTAAAAATTGAATCTTTGGTTTTGATTAATGTGAAAGTCATAGAGAAACACATTGCCCCAAAATACAGATGATTGGGGTCTATACCCTTATATAAATGACACTTGTAAGAAACAGCTAATTTTGCCGACAAGTTTCCACATGCTGACAATTACACTCACACCATCACTGCGATGCAATTGTGTTCAGTGGCTTTACCGAGCAGAGCTGCGCATTGACATTTTATCCCTTTGGTCTCCTTCCTCTGTAACAAGGACTACAGGTCTTGCTCTGGGCCTATGGAAGTCACCAATAGGCTGTGCTTGCGGTATTTTTGTCCTTGCAAGGTTGGACCCATGTATTAATTTACATCTACAGTTTGCCACAGCAACATCATTAAATTAAAAGAGATATTCTCCCCCAAAGCCCTGGTTGCACGTGCAGAGTGCAGTCCGTAACGATGTTACTTTGCTCACACTTACGCAGTTTTCAGACTTTAGACAGCAAAAGGAGAGTCGTCCGTTTCTATGCAGATGAATACTACAAGCCCAATATCTGTTCTAAGCTAATACGTCAGTGCTATGATGTTACTTTGTACCAATTGCTGCATTTGATTAAACAGGTAAATTAAAGCATTTAATCTGACCTGGATTTTTTTTTTTTTTTTTTTTTTTAACATTAGCATTTACATGCTGGGTCCTACCCGATACAACTCTTCTGGAGAGGCTGAGAGACAAAGGGAGAATTTACAGCAAGGTTTATACTGCAAAACTCCCAGTACAACATTTCAAATCCTGGATGGTCCTTGGCACCTCTGCCGCTGGTGAAGCTCTCCCTGCAGCTAATAGCAGGTGCTCAGCACTGCACGGGACTGGGCTTGCAGGGGACAGAACGGGTCCCAGAGCAAGACGGCTGCTGCAAAACAAGAAAGCTCTGCTCTTCTTTGAGTCTGAGCCTTAAGTGCATCTCAAGGGTGGTCCTCAGCAAAGTCACTCTGCTGAGGAGCTCCCAAGCCAGGCTGAGCATTCTTGCAGCCTGGTATGGCGGCTGGCGTTAGTGCATTAAAGAAAGATTTCATTTCCAGAAGATCAATAAAACAAAAGGAGCTGGAAAGAAAGTGGACAGGGTGGCTGATTGATGCGCAGCGGGGCTCAGCGTTTCAAGGCGGGGAGCAGGAGTCCCCTGACAGGGACGTTATGCCTGCGTGACAGGGGCAGGCCACCGATGTCACTCATGGCTCCTCGGCTCCCTTCAGGACCCCAACTTGCTGGCACGTTTTATCTAACTCATCTGATTGGCATCTGGCTTTGAAAGGTGATTCCTCCAGCTCTAGTGCGGCCAGAGCTAGCGGTTGGCAGGAGACTGTCCAGGCAGGGTTTAGCCTCAAATTGAGAGGAAGGATGAGAGATCAACATGCAGCCCAGACCCGTGAGGGGGCTCTGCATCAGCGTTACCTCTTCCCTCCTCAGGACCACATATTCCTGGCTCCACTTCTGGGAGGGCAGTGATGGTGCTCGGGAGCCTTTCCAGGCTCCATCCCTGCACTCCAGGCATGCAGAGATCTTTTGGCAGCTGCTAACACTGTCATCACTGGCAAAACCACATACATACAAACACCTCATGCTGGTGCAGCACCTACCTTCTCCCCTGGGGTCACCGAGATTCTCCAGACACAGTGGGAATAGGAGGGGTAGCCATTTGGAAAGCCAGGTGCTGAGAAATTCCCTGTTGAGTCCTGCAAAGTCTCTCCACAAGCTGTGAGAGATGGGGGGAAAAAACCAGCAACAAGGAGTGACCCTCTGAAAGATACCAGGATCTACCAGAACATTTGCACATGGCTGCTGTGTGCAGGTTGGTGGCTTGTACTGTAAGGATGTTCATTCATGGTACTCGCCAAAGGTCACTGACCACCTGAGACCTTGCCAAAGGGGTGATGTGAAATTTGTCAGGATTATCAGGATAGAAGATTATCAGTGCAAGGACACGGGAAGCAGCTTTTAAAAAGGCACCCTTCTTCCTTTATCTTCCACAGGCCAGCACTTTTAGGTTTCAACCCTATTGAGGAATATCTCATCCACAGATCAGATGCAATATATTAACCCCACCCCACTTTGCGATCCCGAGACTGCTGCCAGCAAATCTGTTTTCCCTTCATTACAAGCTGCTCAATGAAGTTCTCCTTAGTTACCATTGTTAAGTGTCTTTTTTTCAGGTTAAAACATCCTAACAAAAGCAGGGCAAGCCCCACTGCCCTCAGGCTTTGGCTGTCCAGCACCTACCCTGCTGCCACACTGTGCAGGACAAAACGCAAGCGCTGCTGCTGGCTCTGCTCTCCACCTTCCCGTTTTTGTGGCCTGCTGCAGTTGATGAAATGCAGATCCCAGAGTGACTTTTGGGAAGCAAGTAATATGCACACACATACGTTCCTTTAGGGAGCCACAGCTTCCAACATCTGGGAAAGCCGCAACTACTGTAGTTCCTGCTCTCTGAGCCAGGAGGACTGAGCTGGAACAAGGAGTGACCATCTACATCTGCAGAGCAGCTGGCTGGGTAAGTGGGAGGATCACAAATATCAAAGCTCCCATTTCCTTCAGAGTGCTTACTAGACACATGCAAATAACCATTGCAAGGAGCAGGGACCTTGGCTTGCCTGCTTTCCAGTTGGTTTTCCATTTTCGTAACCTGCTAATGTTACAAAGCTGCCCTTGACCTGCAGCTTGGTTTCCTCAGTGACGGTAAGGCAGCTCCCAAAAATGCCTCGTTAAGCAGCAGTGCTTTGAAAGATCTGACAAGGCCAAACATCTGGCTCCCTTTCTCATGGAAATGCCAGGGGATGTTCCTCTGCCTAATGCTATCACACAATCGCTGATTTTTCAACCTGGATTACATTTAGATGGGCGGGTCGGAAGCTGGAGGTGAAAAAAAGACCAGTCCCATTCAAAAAGTTTAGTATCTTCAAAAAGGGTAGAGGGAGTCACCTAGGCCAGAAATGCTTAATTTCCCTGAAACAGTTTGACCCACAGCTTGACAGATCAGACTAGGTGAACAATAAGCGGGGACACACAAAGCAGCTTTGCTCAACCAAACAGCTCCTAGGGGTGCTCAGAAAGGTGGAGTCACTACTAGGAAGTCACACGTATTTCAAGGCACAGGTCAGCATGGGATCTGGCAAAGTCACTCCCGTCAGGAAAGACATGTATTTTAAACTAATAGAAAAAAGCACCAATGAGCAAAACAGGCAGGTAAATGTACACATCTGCCCCAGAGGAATGAAGAAAATAAATGAAAGTTCAAAACCTCTTCATTGCTCCTTCCTTCTCAAGCAGTTTTGAGCCTCGAGAACTCCTCCTACCACTATGCAACTACAAAGGAGCATTGCACAGGAAGTTTTAGTTTCAATTCTGCAGAAATAGCTAATATCCTCCCACCTCTCCCAACACATTTGGCATGTGATGCTGTCTTTATTCTTCAGGTGGGCAGAGAGAGATGCTTGTAAAAGATGATGACCTCCACGAACTGGAGAAGAAATCTGGACTTCTATTTGCAGAATAAATACACTTTCTTCCTTTCTACCTCTTGCAAAGATGTCTTGCCTTTTTATCTGTGTCAGAATCTGTTACAGTAATTCCAGTTCCCAGGATGCTCCTAGGACCCTCAACCAGGAAACTCACGCTGCCCCAGCAGATAAACATCTCAAAGAAGCTGAGTACCAGCCATATTTATTCTGAGGACAGCAAGCAAGTCTTCAGCTGATCCTCTGGCATCACCACTGGTCAATGCATGGTATGGAGTGGCCACCACCTTAGGATGTCTCTAGGAATGCCAACATCTGACAAGGTGTCCCAATAAAGCAGGAATTCCAATCCATAACTCACCAAGATATATAAATGTTCTTTTTCTCTGCTCAAAAATCTATTTAAAACAAAACTGCCCCCATGAAATGATAAAGCAAGCACTAAATTACTGGGAAGACATACTACATTACCATAACGACAGAGGACAAAGAGGATTACCACCCTCGGCTGAACCACAGTGAAGGTTTCCAATAGGCCAAACTTAATTCTCCTAAGTGTAATTACACGGTATCTGGCAAGACTGTGTAATTATGGAATAGGTACTAATGTATCTACTACCAAACACTACTCTGCTAAAACATCATGAAAGGAGACCTAGCCAACTACCCAAACCTTGCAGAGAAAACTCTCCAGACATGCTGGGAAAGGCTGGTCTTTCAGCGCAGAGGAGAGGATTGCCTGCATGTGTAGGGAGAAGCAGGATGAAAATGATCAATGCATATTTGTGTGTAGAGTACAATCTCTTGCAGAGCACACCGATAAGGAATACAAATGTACTCCACTTAGTAGCAAAGAAGCCAACAGGTCCAATAAGACTAGTGTTTGATACTTCTGGGATCCAAGGAACCATGCTGAAGTGGTCTTCACATATGGTGCAGAGGCTGTTGCACATGTAAGCTGCTAGAAGGGAACAGAGGTGAAAAGCGAAGTAGGAAAGGTGAATGCTCCAGCAGTCATTTGTAGATGAAGGAGTTGAGGGGCAGGCACTTACTGCTCACCAGCTGGTTACTGGTACATGACATCTTTTTGAAGCTAACAGAGAATTGGATGGGATGACACAATGCAGGGCTATTCTCAATTTATAGTTTAACCATTCCTCCACAGCTAGCATAGCCACACAGGCCTGTTTCCTTCAGCACAGCACAAGACTGCAGGATGTCCTGTTTTAAAGTTTTTTGTAGTTACTATACTCATCAAACCCTCAACCATGCAGCCATATCAAATCTAGCATTTACTACTATGTAGCAGAATGCATCTTGCCTTCCAGAAATTCCTTCAGCAAATTTCATCTGGTTTCACCTGGCTTGGCACTAACTTCAACCCAGCAGGTATAAGCTTTGAGGAATTAAGAGCAATTTAAACCAGCAGGGTTTTAGAATGGAAAAGTTAAGACAGCCCTAACTGTAGCAGCCACAAGAGCTCCAATCTAATGAGTTGGAGAGCCCTGTTTCTTACAGTAGTCACAGCAGTCATTCTGGCTTGCACCAGTGCATGCTTGTAACTCATCCTCCACTATGCTAACTCTTTTTTGGGGGGATTTTCTCAGGCCTTCTCAGATGGAGACTCTCTTTCTAATAGGGAAACCATCTGCCATTCAACTTCTGGACTATGTTGTTGCGTTTTACATAAAAACCCTCAGCTTGACTACTGAACAAAGTTGTCCTCAACCTAAAGTCTCATTCAGACCCTGCTTGAACATACAGCTGAAGTCCTCTGGTTTTGAACTCCTGTGCTTTGCATTTTGCAGAAGAGAACTTCTCAGGCTACAGATTCAAACGGCTGGTGAAGATGCTAATGTCATTAAATATACTGCACTCCTTCTCTTCAAATGCAACCTATGTATAAATTTTGATGCAAAGAAAAAAAGAAAACCAAACCAAACCAATAGTTATTTGAAGACAATTTGTTTAGTAGGCTTAAAGCTCTAATCATTATGCTGCCAAATATTTTCTGAACTGCAATAACCTCTGCTAAAGCTTTGTGAAAAAAACTAAAAAGTAGAAAAGTTCTACTTTGCAAGTGGAAAACTTGAGACTCTGAAGTGCCCTTATTTTAAGAAAGTTGCTTTGTAGCTATTAGTTTTACTTTAACCTGAGGCCAAAGTGGCTTTTCAGCTTGCCTCGAGAAATCTGAATCTGTACTCAATGCTTCCAGCTATGGGAATGAAAAGCCTGCTTGGATTAAGTCTGACTCAACAAAAAAACATGGTGCAAGACATCCCTGATTTTTGGTTTTTTGGTTATTCAAATGAACCAATCCCTCAACTCATCTGTGAGAGAATTTTCCAAGAACTACATCTCGTTCAACCAAAAGCAGATTAGAGAAAATTATGGGTGGTAAAAAGAAAAAAACGTTAGTTAGAACTAGCACACCTAAGAAAGTTATATCACTCAGTATAAGCTAAGCAGTGATCCCCAAACATCACGGACTGTGAAGTACTGTTCATCCTCAGAATTTATTCTAGACCCTTATGAACTCATACACTCTGACCTGTAGCTGGATGCAGAGAAGCGGTGGATTTGCACACCAGCTATCGACCATTTTCTATGGCCTCGTGAATGGACCACAGCGCAGTGCTAGCCAGCCACTCACTTAAGATGTGACTCTCTATACTGGTAAAACTTACCTCTGCTCCTCACCTTCTCCTCTCTCTCTGTGATATGCTTATTCCAAGAGGTATAGTCATTTATGATTGTATTAAGTTTATGATCAAAGCCACTCTCAGTGGGATCTGCTGGCCAGACCAACCCATTTAAATAAACTCCTGGGCCATGCTTGTAAAAGTCCTTTTTTTCCATTTTACAAATGTTAGAGTCATTCTGCAGAATTAGGGCAGTGCTCTCATTCTCCAGTACCTTTTCATGAATGTTTCAATACCAGCAGAAATTCAACAGAGCTTGTTAAATTCTCTCACTCCGAGCATCACACCTTCCATGTTATCTCCCTTCTCAGTCGCTGCAGTCCATGCCACAGGCACCAGACTGGGTGCCACCTTTGCTTCAAGCCTCTCGCTACATCCTCACATTCAACCTGTCCTTAAGTCTGGCAGATTTCTTCTCTGGAATCTGGTTTTCTCTATCAACCTATTCAGCTAAAACTGTTGCATAAACTTTCACTGTCTAATATCTCCACTTCAAAAGGATCCTTTTGTTCTGATGCGTAAATTTAGTCTCTCAGTCATATCTGTGACCTCAATGGTCTTTTTGCCAATCTTTGCAGACTCCAGATAAAGCAGGACTCAGACTATCAGTCTTTAGTACCTCACACATATGTAGATGGGCTTTTTATCAAAGCTCTTCCCAGTCTACTCGACCCTTTTGCAGCAGAAAGAGGGGCACAGCTGTCCCCTGAACAGCCCAAAGCACCAGCTTCCAGCACTTGGTTGTTTCACAAATCAGCATCTTTGAGCTTTCTTCCGTGTTATTTCACAAGCCTCAGTGCAACACACCACAATCACAGAGATACACTTAGGATTTCCTTAAGGCTCATCCCTGGGCCAACACCTATATAACTAACTCAACAGAAGTCTGATGGCTGGTGTGCAGAGACCCTGGTCTACCAGATATCCCTCTGCCACTTTGCTAACTGCTAGTCCCAACTCTGTCCATGGTCTTGTACATCAATTTCATTTTCTATGAACAGAGCCTACACCCTTAATTCTATGCAGTATATTTATATGAAACCAACAGCAAAATACAAGCCTCATCCTGGCCCCCCTCCCCAGCCTACTCTGCAGCTCCTCTTACTAAGTTTCAGTAGAAAGCACTGGACAAACCTGAAGCCCTAAACCAAACATGAACATTGGCAAAGTACGAATAACAGACATGTTAGGCAAGTTCAATTCTCCCACAGCTCCAGCTTGAAGCATTTGATGGTCTATATTTCCTGAGTGTCTTTCATCAAAGGGATCGTTAAGGTGCTCTTGAGCTCCAATGCCCTCCAGACAAACCATGTGTCTACTATAAAGCTGGAGCCATCTCCACAAGCCATATTTACCTGGGCATTTGTACAACTTCTTCGCCTGAGCGATGTCTCCCTGACTCAGGCGAATACGCTGACCAATAGTTGGCCGGACCCCGTTATCATCACGACGGGGAAGGATGGTGTCGAGGAAAACCCCTCTAAAGGGAAGAACAGAGACAAAGAGCAGTGAAGTAGCGAAAGTGACATGATGCACAGAAAGTAACCCTGGCAGGCCCCCCACACCACCCCCTTGACCATACATCCCATGCTAACAAGCAAGAGTAATTCAGATTGTGATAACTGCATGTCTTGAGGTGGCCTTCTCCCTATAGCAGATAGCTTCCAAATGTACAGGCAAGTCTGCCAAGCCAGTAAATTCCTCTTTCGATATATTAAGATTGCCGCTGCCTCTGTTTGAGTATAGACACATTCCTTGCCATAAATCAGAGAAGGCAATGAAATATTCTTGCAGAAGGTTCATGGCACATCTGGCTCAGCAGGAGCACAGATTGGACACTTAAGCCAAAGGAGGAGAGGGAAGGGGAGTTTGCTCAGTAGCAGATGGGGTTGGGCTGGCAGTGACCACTCTTGCCACAGGCAAGAGAAAAAGATCCTGCATGAGTTTCCAAGCTAATAACTCAATTTCTCTCTGCCTCTTTTTCCTTGCTACTATTTCTTCCATGTGGTACTTCATACTCAGGAGCTCTCTACTGCACTTTTGATCTCAGTCCAGGAAAGGATTTAAGCTCACTTCCATCAAAATGCAAAGTCCGTGCATTCAAGCAAGAGTTTGCATGCAAGAGGGACCCCAAGGCAGCGTTAGGACTGCAGGGCTAAAGCGGGAGGAAGGTATCAGAAACCTGAACTCCAGGTCAATTAAGTCCCAGACCTTGTGTCCAGGCTGTCCAGTCCACAGAAACCATTCCACTGCACCCCTGAATGTCTAACAGGCTTGGAGGTGCCAAGGCTAACGGTGAGCTTGAAGCTTTGGCGTCAGGTCTGGGAGGCAGACTTCTCTTTCTGAAGGACAGGATACAACTCTCCATAGAATCCAATGGGAAATCAGGGCAGAAGCAATAATTTTAGTGCTGCCTAGTCCTGATACAAGAGTCTTCAAAAGTAAGTACATAAGTAATTCTGCTCAGCTGCATATGAGCCTTGGGAAGGAGTTTGAGAGGATTTTTTTGTACTGGTTTAATTTTAAATAAATACTGCAAACAGAGTATTTGGACCACAGCTGTCCAGAGCTGCAGCCAATATTCTTGAACAGAAAATATCATTCTGTTAAACATATTTTGTGGGGGAAAATTCTTCTGTAAATATTCAAACTGAAGGAAGAAATAGAGGGGAAGGAATTTAATCTGTTTAAAAAACTAGAATCAACTCTTGCATGAGGGATGTTGGGTTTTTTCCAGGGGTAGGAAAATTCCTGATCAGGATTAAAATCAGTGCTTACAAGCTCTGAGGTGAGCCCATCAAGTTTTGATTGACAAATTCAGGCTGGCATTCAACATGCCAGCTGCATGCCTTGGGCTGAATTTATCTAAGTTTATGCATTGAAAATAAATCCTCCAATTCCAGAAACACCACAGAGAAACAGGTCAGTTTGTTCACAGTAAGTTTTCAAGCCTCCTCAGGAGTTCACAGAAGAACTCAGCATTTGGCAGGGACATACTTCTGTGGCAAGTGAAACGCTTTCTGCAGATCTCCAGGCTCTATCAGGGAAGAATGACAAAGTTTAATAGAGGAACCACTACTTGCACATGCAAACTTTTGACTCTTTTTCCCATTCCTTTCCTCCCAACAGTGTACTCACAGCCCTCAGCCTCCTACACATAGAATACACCTAGGGTATTGCTCACACAACCCACAGCTTCAAATTACTTTGTGACCCCTTATTATCTGCCAAACACATCTTCTACCAGAAGGCTGTGCCCTAGGTTGGGCCAGTAAGATTTCTAGTTCTGCTTTTTCCACCAACTGAATTTTGTGCTTCCTTCACATGCATTGCTGAACATGACTCCAAATTAGGAGGCAGTATGTATAGTTACTCTCATTTTACAATCAAAGGAACTGAGAACAGAGGAGGGTCTTTCCACACAGGTCCCAGCAGCCCCATGCTGTCCACCCAAACCCCATCTGCTTAACAACACTTTATAATGTCCAGTTGCACATTTGGTGAGCGCCTCTAAGAGCACCATTACTGTGGCTCACAAATTAATAAACACCAAGCAGACATCATTAAACAGAGCAGCTCAGGCACTCTACCACCAGAACCGTTCTTGAATAAGACACCTAACCTTTCCTACCTTCCCAGAGGTAGGAAAAGAACCCAGAAATCCTGGATTCCCCATTCTCCTACTGGCTAGGCACGAGTAGAGCATGCATTAGCTGCCCAGTGCAGTGGTCAGTCAAGAACAACCACCAACCATTGCTACTAACTAAGACAGAGTTTAAGCAGAGATGCTCTCAAGAGTCATTAGCACCCACATAGTACCCTGAATGTGTAAAGCATTGTGTAAACATGAGGAAATTATCAACTGATGTTGAGAAATGCTGAATATTTACCACTCCATCTGAGGGCAATAGGTACAGGTGCTTTAACCACCAGTCAAGGAAGGAGATGTTCAAAGCAGGTTACGCACTCGGCTGCAGGCAGCTACATGTTGTCCCCACTCTGTTTTTATATCCCCATCTGCAGAGGAGGGACAACATAACCCTACTTCACACAGTAAAACCTGTGGAGGATGTGTCATGTGTATATGCCTGGTGCAGGATTAGGATGGTGTGTTGCCAATACAAGAAGATGCCCCGTAACATGCAGACAGTGCTTCCTGCAGCCTGATTCAAACAGGGAGCTTTGCAGAGGTCATGTTTTATAACTCCAGACTGTGCTGCCATGTCTACTAGCAAGAGGCTTTAGTGAAGGCTTCTTCACTAAGGTAACCCACTATTTGCTTAGGGCTCCATGGAGGTTTAAACTTTCTTATTGCTAAGATGCCATCTATGGGTTTTGACAGCAGTAAAAGAAATTGTTTAATGAGACAGCAATATTCAGTTTAATTTGCTGCCTTGTCTGTAAGGAATGCACCAGGAAAGCCTGCAGCCATACTCTGCAAAATGGGCAAATTTCTGACATAGACAAGAACAGAAGTTCCCATGGTAAAAACTTGTTACTACTGTCATTAGTCTCTTCTGCCACACTCCTGTTCCTATTAGCCACAGACACAAACGGGAAATATGTTTTGCTGTGAACTGAAAACGAGCAGTGACTCCTGCAGCAATTTTCAAAAGCACCACTAGAAACAACTTCCGCTACTAGGACTCATTGTGTCTCAGAAAAACTGTCCCTTTCTGTCCTAGGTACAAAGTTTAGAATAAAAAGGGCCTAGGATCTGGAGCAGCATTTGACCATGGCAAACACCATATGATTTGCTATCAATATTCACCAGGAGTCATAAACAACAAGGTTGCGCCAAGTGCCACGTAAGAGTTGCTTCAAGACAATGAGTCACAGACACGGCTCTGTGTCCTCCGCATCCTCCTCACTCACACATCCCACCTCCTGGTGGGGTGCTCAGACCATCTTTTTCCTCTGTGGACATTCTGGTGTCTGTTAATGTAGTAACACACCCACTACAGCTCTTCCCTTAGCAGTGTCACACAGGGCCTATCTCCCATTCCTAGCCTTACTGGAGATCTTAAGGAAACTTGCTGGAACTTAGTATCTTCATGGGCTCTGTGCTTTTGTCAGTTTGGGTTGTAATGCACCCGCAAAACTCAGTAAGGTGGGAAGAAGACATGCATACACTCACAAATCTCTACTGATTGGTCAAAGTAAGCATCGTTCCCTTAGCAGATGTCAAGACAAGTCTTGGTAAAGTAAAAGCCTGTTCTCAGCACTGCCTATTGATGGTGAGAGCACAATCAGCCTACAGAGGCACTTAGTGCTCAGTTCAATTACTGCACAAAGACTGCTACTGGGGTGAGGGTGGGTCACAGAGACAAAGGGCTTAAAGAAAACAGACTTAAAAATCCTGTTAAGCACCAATTTCAATTTAGAAGGACTCTTGCCATTTTTATCCCTTTTTGGCCCAGCAGTGTTCTGAAGGACCCTGGTTTTCAAGAGACACAGACTCAAAGGCATCCACAATATAAATGGCGGTAATAACTTAATCCTGCTTTTGTGCAAGACAATTCCAACCATTTAGGGTCCAGCAAATGCTGGAAGGGTCCAGCAGATGCCTCAAGGGAAGAAAAATTGTTTACTTTGGGTATCTGATCCAAAGAAATCTCTGAAGGCTGAAAAGCCCCCTTGCCCAGCCACCATCTCCTCCTGCCAGAACAAGCAGCATTTCAGCAAGTTTGGTAATTTTCCCCTGGTTGACATGAAGCTTCAGAAACAGAAGCACAAAACGATAGGCTTGTCACTTCCATACAACTGGGGAATAAGGAAATTTAAAAAGTCCCAAAGACACCTTTAATTTTTTGCAACAAAAAGTTCTCAAGAGTGTGAATATTTGTGCTCTGCCTCCTGTCCCCTTTACTCATGGTATGTAGTTGTGAAATATGTTCATCTGATTCATGTGATGAAGTGTAATCTTCTGTACTTTTATGGATTTCTCCTGCACCATAAAAAGGGGTATTTTACAGGAGAAAGTTAAACTACTTTGCTGGTATATCAGCTCAAACCAGTTTGACCACTGACCGCATAGTATTGTGTAAAGAAAGTGCATGCATAAGGTTTGGGGTCATCCTGGGGGCACGCCGAGGAAGATTCGAGAAGACTCTAGCAGGCGAAGAGGGCATGCGCTGAAGAAGACACGGCGGTTCATTAATATGTATTAGAAGACACGCCTATTCATGAATATGTATTAACGGACAGGATATAAACCAGGAACAGGAACTGTACCGCGTGCGTCTTGGTGGAGCAGAGACTCCCGGCGCACCCAGCGCTGTTTGCTTGCCTCTATTCGCTTAATAAATTGTAAATTTGAATTGGAATCCTGTTTGGGACTAAATCATTTATAACATAGTGAAGGAAAGCTCTTGGGAAGGAGCAATAGTGGGATTTATGGAAAAAACTTCAAATAATGCAGCAAAATGAATCTAGTCATCCAGTAACTCTCATTCCAAATCCAGGACATAAATAACAATGTGCATTTCACCTCTCTATCCAGTAGAGCTGTCTGATTAGAAAATGGGCTCCATCTGGGATGAGATGGGAGTCAAGCGTAAACAGCCTACACAGAAATTGGCCAGTTAGCTGGGACAACAACAGGACTGAAAAATTCTCCATGATGAACCCAGTCACACAGAATCACAGAGCTGCTGAGGCCACGATTTAAAGCACATGCATAAATGGTTAAAAAAATACCCCAGTAATTAAAGATCACAATCTAGAGTTTAAATTCTCCCTTGGCAAAGTTGCTAGGGACTCTGAAGACAATATTGTAACGCCAAAGCATAAGCAGGACAACCAAGACATTCAAAGCTGGTTTTAGCATTATCTTCCTTCCACGCAGGCATATATATATGCTGCCTGGGAAGGTTGCAAAACATGTTAACATGGCTTTGGAAGGTCTCTGAGATTATCAGCACTGGGTGAACATACTAGGGAGCGGAAAACAGAGGTCCACCATGCTTCTCTTCACTCACCTTGCTTTTTCAAATATTTTTCAAGCTTTGCAGTGCAGCAGAGCTCACTGCAACTGCCACATATCTCTGCAACAGATCGCAGGCCTCCTCCTAGGCTCTACATATCCCACAGAGCTAATGGAAGCTATTGAAAATAGTCCTAAGGAGATGTAACCTTGGATTATCACCTGGAGAATGTGTTCCTAGCATAGTGCATGATGCTGTCGAAGTCATAGGTCTCTCCCAGTGAGTTCACTTCCCCAGCTTCCATCTTTAAAAAGTTGTACTCCTGACCTATGATGCCAAACACAAAGGGAAAAAAACAAGTCAAAAAAAAAAAAAAAAAGAATGAAAAAAAGAAGAAAAAAAAAAAGCCTTCCACCTCTGGGAGCCTAGACTGAAAGGGATGTTCCAACAATTCCAGCTGGACATCCAAAAATCTCTGTTCATCCAACTATTTTGGCCCTAATTCTAGGCAAGAATAGCAATATTTCTTCTTCTCTATCCCAGCTCACAGAACACTAGGGTTTTCCATAAGCCCAGCAAGAAAAATTTGCACCCACCCAAAAGCCAGGTGGAATAACGTGAAGTGCTGTTTTACCTTGCTGTATGTTCTCTCTGATGATCGTGACATGCTGGTCCCTATCAGGCCGTGTGTGCTCATGCCAGAAACCCACCACATGACCCAGCTCATGAGCCACAATACCAAACTTGTCACAGTTCTTTCCAATGGATATAGCCTGAGGGCCCCCTCCTCGGCGACCCACGTATGAGCAACATCTGGAAAAGAAAACCCACAAACCCATGCAGCACGTCAATGAATTGGGGACGTCCGAGACATACAAACAGAGGATGGCATCTGGGAAGGTCCGGGACAGGACAGCAGTTGCATACACTATATGTACTTACACATATGTGTGTGTGTACGTATAAAGAAAACACGTTAAGTTCATATCTGTAAAAATGCATATATACACACATAAATGTTATCCAGAAAGGCTTAGCACCTTCTGAGCAAATACTAAATTATCCTGGCAGTCCTTGCTGGGAGTGACCAGATGCCTCTCTGTGACAGATTCCCCCGCGTAGCCATCGGTCTATTCTGACCTGACCTAGACTTACAAAGCCATCGGTCAACGAAAGGGATGCTGGCAACACAGATAGCTGCGGGGGCTGCGCATGTCACTTACCCACAGGTTCTGTACGTGAACACAATGAAACTCTCTTCGTCGGTTCTCTCCACAAACGTCACACAGGTGTGCTTCTCCCAGTGCCTCATCGCTTGCTTGAAGATAGCTCTTTGGGTTCCTGGAAAAGGAATCCAAGAAGAGTAAACAGTGAAGGCCTGGCTTTCAGGAAGATCTCTAATGGGCTTCATCTGGATAGGGGAACAGTCAATCTTTCCAACAGTCAATCTTACACCTGCCGACACCTCTAGGAATCTGGGACTCATTTCCAACTATGGAACTAACTTACTGTAGGAAGTTGTACTACTAAGTTGTACTAGCTAGTTACAACACTAACTCACTGTACCACCCTTTTTTGCCCTGTGCTTGACGAACGAATTTCCTGTAATTAAACAGGTAGCGAACTCGGTGAAGCACGTCAATACTTCTGCATGTGAGAAATGTCACCTCACTAGGTAGAGGCCATTCGGGCAGAGCTGCTGGGTGCTGCGATCTGTGCCCCAGCTACCTGGTGGTGTGCCAGATTTGCTCTCGTGACACAATGTTACATGACCGCGCACAGCCTTCAAGACCCAGCAATCTCATGAGCGCTACAGATGCTCCCCAAAACTAAGGCAAAGCTGTTGTCAGGTAGTTTGTCTTTAAAATTAGACGCAAAAACTCTACAGGAGCCAGAGGCGGTCTCAGGGCAGGGTAAGAAGGTGTAGATACAGACCCCCCCTCCGCAGGGAGCGGGGTACCTCCAGCAGTCACTCAGCAGCATCCAGAACAGCCATGGGGGCGGCTGGGAAGCAACGCCTCGGAGAGGCCACAGCCCCGGGGGGCTTCCCGCCAGGCCGCG